ATTGAGGATTACCTATAATCCGCCAAATTGTTATCATGTCCGGAAAAGGTACTTGGATAAAACTGTTCTTCCTCTCTTGTGCCACTGGACTTTGGGTTATTCTCTCAGCCTTCAGCATTGTTTACAGAGCAATCCTCTTCGAGCTGAGCTTGACCAGTTCCCACTTTGCAAGGTTCAGCTCGTAGCTGGAAGAAATCTGTAGAGATTCTCCGTCATCCAAGTCATGGTTGTTCCAAAGGTTCTTTTTTTCAGGAGGCCGACTGGATTTTCTTGTGTTTTTTTTTCTTTTCTTTTGAAGACATTTCACTTCTCATTCAAGAAGCTTCTTCAGCTCGGGCTGGATGGTGGAGAACGGAGGGATTTATACTCCTTGCAGGCAGCTGGTCATTTGCATCCTTTTCGAGGGTCATTGAGGCCACTTGAAGGTTTTATCTCTGTCCTCAGGGTCCCCTGAGTAGTGCAAATGGTTCCTGTAGTCTGCAGTTTTTCCTATGAAAATCCATTCCTACTCCCGTACCATTCAAAGAGCGTTCATGCCTTGGATTTCCAGAAAATGCATTTCCAGAGAAAGGGAGGGGAAATGCAGACTACAGGAACCAGGAGCACCACTCAGGTGGCCCTGAGGACACAGACAAACCTCCAAGTGGCCTCAACGGCCCTCTAAAATGATGCAAATGACCAGCTGTCTGCAAGGAGTATAAATCCTTCCATTCCTCACTTTACTGTCAGAGTTGAAGAATGATGAATTCTGGATTGAATGAGAAGCAAAACATCTACAAAAAAACAACAACAAGAAAGGCCAGTTGCCTCCTGAAAAAGCACCTTTGAGACATACCTGGAAGAGTTGGTGGCTCAAGGGGCAGTTAGCAGCCTCTTGGGCGATGCTTCCAACCAAAAAATAGCCCGTTTCCAAGGCATAAATTGTACAAACATCTTGAAGTGGAAGAAATAAAAGGTTATAAGAACTACAGCAACTGAACTTCATGTACAGGTGAAACTCGAAAAATTAGAATATCGTGCAAAAGTTCATTTATTTCAGTAATGCAACTTAAAAGGTGAACCTAATATATGAGATAGACTCATTACATGCAAAGCAAGATAGTTCAAGCCGTGATTTGTCATAATTGTGATGATTATGGACTACAGCTCTTTAAAACCCCAAATCCACAATCTCAGAAAATTAGAATATTGTGAAAAGGTTCAATATTCTAGGCTCAAAGTGTCCCACTCTAATCAGCTAATTAAGCCATAACACCAGCAAAGGGTTCCTGAGCCTTTAAATGGTCTCTCAGTCTGGTTCAGTAGGAAGCACAATCATGGGAAAGACTGCTGACCTGACAGTTGTGCAGAAAACCATCATTGACACCTTCCATAAGGAGGGAAAGCCTCAAAAGGTAATTGCAAAAGAAGTTGGATGTTCCCAAAGTGCTGAATCAAAGCACATTAATAGAAAGTTATGTGGAAGGGAAAAGTGTGGAAGAAAAAGGTGCACAAGCAGCAGGGATGACCGCAGCCTGGAGAGGAGTGTCAGGAAAAGGCCATTCAAAAGTGTTGGGGACTTTCACAAGGAGTGGACCGAGGCTGGAGTCAGTGCATCAAGAGCCACCACACACAGACGGATCCTGGACATGGGCTTCAAATGTCGTATTCCTCTTGTCAAGCCGCTCCTGAACAACAAACAATGTCAGAAGCGTCTTACCTGGGCTAAAGAAAAACAGAACTGGTCTGTTGCTCAGTGGTCCAAAGTCCTCTTTTCTGATGAGAGCAACTTTTGCATCTTGTTTGGAAACCAAGGACCCAGAGTCTGGAGGAAGAATGGAGAGGCACACACTGCAAGATGCTTGAAGTCCAGTGTGAAGTTCCATAGTCTGTGTTGATTTGGGGAGGCATGTCATCTGCTGGTGTTGGTCCACTGTGCTTCATTAAGTCCAGGGTCAATGCAGCCGTCTACCAGGAGATTTTGGAGCACTTCATGCTTCCTCCCGCGGACGAGCTTTATGAGGATGCTGACTTCATTTTCCAGCAGGACTTGGCACCTGCCCACACTGCCAAAGCACCAAACCCTGGTTCAATGACCGTGGGATTCCTGTGCTTGATTGGCCAGCAAACTCGCTTGACCTGAACCCCATAGAGAATCTATGGGGCATTGCCAAGAGAAAGATGAGAGACATGAGACCAAACAATGCAGAAGAGCTGAAGGCCGCTACTGAAGCATCCTGGTCTTCCATAACACCTCAGCAGTGCCACAGGCTGATAGCTTCCATGCCACGCCGCACTGAGGCAGTAATTGCTGCAAAAGGGCCCCAAACCAAGTACTGAGTACATAAGCATGCTTATACTTTTCAGAGGTCCGATATTGTTCTATGTACAATCCTTGTTTCATTGATTGCATGTAATATTCTAATTTTCTGAGATTGTGGATTTGGGGTTTTCATGAGCTGTAAGCCATAATCATCACAGTTATGACAAATCACGGCTTGAACTATCTTGCTGTGCATGTAATAAGTCTATCTCATATATTAGTTTCACCTTTTAAGTTGCATTACTGAAATAAATGAACTTTTGCACGATACTCTGATTTTTCAAGTTTCACCTGTAGGCCTCAACATACAAGCTTCACGGAGCCTGCTCATTGCAGTCGTATCTTGTGATGGTTTCCGCAGCTGTCATTAAGCAAACATCGCAGTCATTAAGTGAACCACGGGTTCGCTGAAGGTGCAGTTTTGCCAAAGAAACCCAGAAAGTAAGTATTGGTTTTTGGTAAAACCATCATAAAATGCGGTTGTGTGACTATGGGATGTGCAAACGACCGTTATATGTGAAGTTTGATCACATTACCACTGCTGTTAGATCTTCGAATCTGGCTGGTAATCCCTGTTTTTTATTTTTGGATGGTCATAACTATGAATGGTTGCTAAGCAACCAGTCGTAAGTCAAGCACTGTCAGTACTTTCCATATAGAACCTGTTTGTTTTTTTAAAAAAATAATGTTTATCGGTGTTGGAATTTTTTTTTTTTAACAAACTTTATTCAGTTTTTCACATTAAAAACAAAAATCTCTTTTTAGTGGACAACATATTTCCGGTTCTGAATATTTCTGCAATTAAAAATATTTAGAAAATAGGGTAATATAGATACTGATAACTCTTATTAAAGTGGGGGGAAATGTGCTGTGGAATCCAATCAAAAAGAGGTAATGATTAATGGTTTACTGGGAATTAAGATGAGGGAATAAAGGTATATTCTAATCATTAAGGTGTCACACTCAAAATAGTAAAAGAGGGGAAACTTGTTCTTTTTTCTTTGTGTGTGTGTTAAAATTTGTATTAATTTAGAATTCATTAAAGGGAATATGACAGACTAAAGAACCAGCTAAATTAATAAGTTTAATATAGATTATTAAAAGCAAGGAGAAACATTGGTAACTTCATTATTACTACTATTAGGCAAATATATATTGTTTATTTTTAAAATAAATATTAAGGATTATATTTGAAATAATTGAAATGAAATAAAAAGATGTTTCGATTGAGATTAATGAAAGAATTTAGAATCAAACTTTATTATTATTATTATTATTATTATTATTATTATTATTATTATTATTATTATTATGCAAATACATATTGTTTATCTTTATGTTTAAAAACAAATGCTAAAGGATTATATTTGAAATAATTGAAATGAAACAAAAAGATGTTTCGATTGAGATTAATGAAAGAGGCTAGAATTAATGTGTTTGTTTCTCTCCTTACTGAAAATTTGGAATGGAAAAGGTAATAATAGAATTAAGTATGCATATATCAATGTATAATTGCTGTCATATTTGTATGTAAAGGTGATGGTGTTGGAAATTTTTAAGATGAGTATACTTCAGCTGGCTGGGGAATTCTGGGAGCTGAAGTCCACCCATCTTAAAGCATGCTGGCTGGGGAATTCTGGGAGTTGAAATGCAGCCCTCTTAAAGCATGCTGGCTGGGGAATTCTGGGAGCTGAAGTCCACCCACTTTAAAGGACATATTTCCATCAAGGGAATCTTTTTTACTCTCTACAACTGCCCTGAACCCCGACCAGCCGATCACCTATCCACGATCCGTAGATCTTCGGAGCATCGCCTGATAACAGGTGATATCTTCTTCCAAGCCTGTCCCGGCCTCCATTAAAAGCCAGACCTTGGCATCTTAACTTCAGAGGTTCTGGGTGCTCCAATACCTGAGGTTTTTAAGAAGAGACTTGGCAACCATTTGTGTGAAATGTTATAGGGTTCCTGCTTGAGTGTTGTGGTTCACCAGCAGCAGGTGCGGACGGCTGAGGTCTCTTGAGAGCGAGGATCCGGATGAGGGGCTTGCATGTGATACAGGGATGCGACCAGGAGTATCAGAGAGTGGGGTGTTACCTTCGGAGCTTGTGGAGTCTGGCGGCAGTGATGCAGAGGTCCCCAAGGAATCTGTGCCCCGTGCCCGTGTGCCCAGGGCTGCTTGAAGGAAAGAGCAGCTGCTGCAGCACGGGCAACTCGGGAGTAAGGCTGCAAGGTAATGGCCCCTCCCATAAGGGATAAAAGCCAGCCTTCGTGCCTTGGGTTCTTTGCAGGAAGCAAAGAAGTTCTTTCAACTCCCAAGTTCTTGTGGAAGTCCTGTCTATTCTGGTTTGTTTTCGTTTTGGATATTTCCCTGCAATAAATCTTGTGTTCTTGGCAGCCTTTCGCAACCTTGAAAGGGCTTGCTCTCATCTGGGACAATTAATTTTAAATGACTCTTTGCTGTGAATGAACAGAATCCACAGAGACGCATTAAATAAGGTTTGCTTTTACATGTACTTTGTGTTTATTTGGTTCGAACGAGGCTTGGGTCAGAAGATTGAGCAGGGGGTTGGACTAGAAGACCTCCAAGGTCCCTTCCAACTCCCATTATTCTGTTACTCTCTTTTAACTCCCCCTGTATGTACGTGCGTGATCGGTCTGAACTTGAGAAGGAAAAACTCAAGGTGGTTCTCTCTTTCAGTGCCGTCAACGTGGGCACCGATATGTTGGAACTTGACTGCCATTTGACCAAGGATGGACAAGTGGTGGTTTTGCACGACGAGAATCTGAAACAGTCAACTGGGGTGGACGTCAATATATCAGACCTCAAATACTCAGTAAGTTCATGTAAGCACCCTTCACTTCCATTCCCCCCACTTCCCCCCCACCCGCCAAAAACGACCAGCCAGTTGAGAGCGGGTAGCCACGGCCTTGCAAAACTCTCAGGACCCCAAATCCTGGCTTTCAATGTCAGATGCATAATTCTGTTTATATTTATTTATTTATTCCGTTACATTATGTAGTAGTGTATGCTGGAAGTGGTGACCCTTGGAGAGCTGTATGCAATGAAATTTCACTTTAATGTATGCTGATTAGTGTACATTCAAAGTGACAATAAAGTTATTATTCTATTCTATTCTAATTCTATTCTATTCTTATTCTATTCTATTCTTCATTCCACTGTTCTATTCTTTTCTTCATTCCACTGTTCTGTTCTATCCTCTATTCTATTCTTTTCTGTTCTGTTCTACTCTATTCTATCCTAATTGCTATTCTATTCTTAATTCTATTTCTAATTCTGTTCTAGTCTATTCTTCATTCCACTATTCTATGCTAATTGCTATTCTATTCTTAATTCTACTTCTATTCTATTCTATTCTATTCTATTCTAATTGCTACTCTATTTTTAATTCTGTTCTTAATTCTATTCCTTGTTCTGTTCTGTTCTGTTCTATTCTAATTCTAAGCATAATGAAATGAATCAGGGTCACAATTAATAGGTAATGCATTTGAACAGAATTTCAGAATACAGCTAGTCCTTGACTTACAACCATTCTTTTAGTGCCCATTTGAAGTTACAACGGCACTGAAAAAACTGATTTTTGACTAAGTTTTCGCACTTACGACCATTCCAGATTCCCCTTTGGCATGTAATCAGAATTCAGATGCTTGGCAACTGGCTCATAGTTATGACGGTCGTGGTGTCCTGGGGTCATGCGATCTTCTTTTGCAAACTTCCGACAAGCCAAGCCAGTTTCACTGAACGTCCGCATTCCTAAGTGAACAATTCCAGGGATTCACTTAACAACTGTGGGGTTTTTTTTGGTTTTTTTTTAAAAGCATGTGGCAAAAAGCCAGCCAGCATCCTCTTGGTCACGTGATCAAAATAAGAATGCTTGGCTACTGCCATGTACAGTGAGTGTTCGTCTTAACGACAGTTCGTTTAGTGACTGTTCAAACTTAGAACGGCACTGAAAAACTGGGCGGTATTCCTGACAGTTGCAATGGTCACATGATCATGTTTTGTGACCTCCGTGACTGGCTTTCAACAAGCAACGTTGATGGGGGAAGTCAGACTTGTATCCCAGCAACCGTGCGGTTCACTTAACAACCGCAGCAAAAATGTCCTAAAGTTGCTACGTCTCACTTAACGACCCCTTTGCTTTGCAACGGAAGTTCCTACCCCAGTTGTGGTCGTATGTCAAGGACTACCTGTGTAAGCACCAGAGAGAATTCTTGTGAGTGCTGGGGGAATTAAAGCCAAAGTGCTCTTGGATAAAGGCAATTCTGACGTTTTCGGTCTCTGGTCCTCTCTGTATTTAAGCTGACATTTTCCTTCTTTTAAAAGGAACTCCCTCTGTATCACTGCAAGTTGGAGGTCACATTCCAGAAAGGTAATAATTCAAAGATCCGAATCTTTGCAGAATGCTCTTTTTTCTATTGCTCCATTTCAGCCTGGTCTGTCCGTATTCTTCACTGGGAATTCCGGGGTTTTCCGCTGTCCATAACTTCACATTTACAAAGCAGCTAAGACCAAAATACTGTAGTTCTACCTTGCTGTTCTGACCCGGCTCCGCAAACACGACAAACCCTCTGTAGTTATATCAAGACCCGTCCAAAAAGTTACGCTAACAAGTCCATCTGTCTGGAAGATGAATAGTGGTCGGCCACACCTCTTCATCTCCGCCCCCTGCCTTTTATCCCCAGAGCTAGAGTGGAGGCTTCGCTAGCAGCGGTGGCTCTTCCGTCCCAAGGACCGGCCCATAGATTTCCACTGCTCTCCTCTCCTCTGCCTTTTGCACATCCACGCGTCGGGCACTGGACCCAGCTGTTCCTCCTCTTCCTCATCAGCCACCTCCAGATCTGGGGGCTGTTGACTCTCCCCCTGAGGAGGAATGGATAGACCCAGGCTCTGCCTCCATCTCCGCCTCTCTCTCTTCCCCTTCGGAGCTCTCAGGTTGCCCTTGATGCTGGCCCTGACTCCCACATCTCCTCCTCTTCGTCTGATTTGGCTGCCGGAGGGACCAGCAACCGACAGGCCACAACATTTGCATTAATTGGGGAAAAAAATCACAAAGAAATATAAAGCATGGAACTGCGTTAAGTGGACAAAAACAGGACAAATACAGCTAGTCCCTGAATCTCTCAAAGTCTCTAGAATCTCTACAGTCTTTTAGATAGACCTTGACTTACAACAGTTCATTTAGTGACTGAAGTTACAACGGCGCTGAAAAAGTGACTGGGGGCCATTTTTCACACTTACGACCATTGCAGCAACCCCACGGTCACTTGATTTACATTTGCAGGCTTTGGCAATTGGTTCATATTTATGACAATTGAAGGGTCTCAGAGTCACACAATCCCCTTTTGCAAGCTTCTGACAAGCTGAGTTTAACAGGGGAAGCCCGATTCACTTCGCAGCCACGTTACTAACTTTATCCACTGCAGGGATTCACTTAGCAACGGTGACAAGAAAGGCTGTAGAATGGGGCAGACCTCACAACCAATTCTCTCACTTAACCAACGTCAATTTTGTGCTCAGTTGTGGTTGTAAGTCAAGAATTGCCTGCATTTATGAAGGTTGCACTGTCCCAGGATCTTGTGATCCTCAGAGGACTATCTGTGTTGACTTAACAACTCCAGTGATCCATTTAACAAGTGTGGCGGGAAGGTCGTAAAATGGGGTGCCGTTCATTTAATAATTGCCTCCCTTAGCAATAGAAATGATGGTTGTATTTCGATCCGGGTCCAGCCCCTCTCCCCCTCGAATTCCATTAAGCCCGATACCAATTTATTCCTGACTGTCATGGCCCCGTCGGAGTCCAGAGAGGACGAATAGCTGGAGCTGGGTCAAGGGAGTGGCCTTGTTGGCTTCAGAGGAACACGGGGAGGAGCAGGACAAGGCAGACCCAGGTCCCTTGGGCTTAGGACCGCTTGCCAGCAGGGAATAATGGCGGGGTAGGGCGGGCAGGATGACCGAGAGAGGGCAGGCGGTGGAGATGAGGAGCGATGGAGCTCAGGCAACGAGCAAGGACCACCCCCTCCTGATCCCTGAGCACGGAGAGTGGGAAGGAAGCCTGGAGCAGCGCAGGCCGACCCGACAACACGGGAAGAGAGCGCCCCGCCCCTCTTCACAAGGCGCACCTATAGGGACTGAGACTTAAGGAGATTTTGTGGGGTGGGGCACTTGTCGGGAACAAACACTGAATTGGTGGGAGTTTTTTGTCGGGAACAAACACTGAATTGGTGGAGTTTTGTGTGCCGTTGCCGATGTCTGGAGTTTGCTGGACTTCTTGCCTTAGTTCCTGTCAAGATTCCAAGCAATATGTTCCACAAAGGATAGTCCAACACAACCATTATCCAAACAAAGTCTTTTTTTTTTATTGGGAACGTATCAAATTGGCAAAGTTTGGTGTAATTCCGGATCTGACCAAATCCTGGAATTACACCCAGTAAAAGCATAGTTTGAAACTTCCCCCACCATCGTCACATTCTCCAATCAGGTCACACAGTTCATCTGTCCAATGAGTCCAAATTCAACCTCTAGGCAATTGCAGGCACACGCTCTGTTCCCACGGGAAAAGAATTTCACCTAGCCAAAACATCCCCCCTTATCTGTGCTCCCTCCTCCCATCCGCTAGAATGTGCCGAGCCTGAATGCCCACAGTCCCTTTTACACAACGTTAAAGAAGCTACGAAAGAAATAGAAATGACTAGAATTAAACATCTCTCACCTTCAGGGTCGACAGTTTCTTTCCTTTGTGGAGTCATTGGCTTGTTTCCCTTGCCTCGCTGGGTTTCTTGCCTGTTATAACAGCGTTTTGCCAGACCACTTGCAGCCAGAGGCTGCTGGAGGTGTGTGAGTGAGCCTTTTGCTCAGGGACTTGCCATAATCGTGGGAGCATTTGGGAGAAAGCTAGAGGAATAAAGAAGGGGAGTTAGAACTCTTCTCTGGCTGTGTTGCTTCCATGCCTTGCCCTGGGTCATCACACTGACTCTACTGTATTTCCCCGAAAATAAAACCCTGTCTTGTTTTCTTGTTTTTTTTGCCACCAAAAAAGGCACCAGGTCTTATTTTCTGGGGATGTCATCCACTGATAACCTCACTTGCACGTGTCACACACACACACACACCCGTCCTCCTTTTTGCTATCAGAGACCTTCAGGAACAACTTCTTCTGCAGCCGGCGAGGCTTTCCTGAAAGCCTCTGCAGCCAATAACCAAGCTCTGGATTGATCTGGCTACAGAGGCCTTCACCTGGCCAGCCTTGCCGGCTGCAGAAGAAATGGACCAACAAGGCAGGTGTCGAGGCCTGGCTAGGATTGTCCAAAGGTAAGCAGTAGGGCAGCTCCACCATCTCCCATTCCCAACCTAGCTTAAATTTTACCCGTGCACCCTGGAGTAGAAGGAATCTCAATTAGGGCTTATTTTAGGGGGTAAGACTTTTATTGGGCACATGTGTAAAAAAAATCAAGCTAGGGCTTACTTTCAGGATAGGTTGCATTTTCGGGGAAACTTATTTAATTAGTTCCTTGTGTGTAGGCTGAAAATAATAAACCTTCAGCACTGCCATTTAACATATGATCCTGATCCTTTGTGCCTGACACATTAGGCCCTACAATCCCAAGAACAAGAGGTGGCCTTACCCCCAAATTCAGGTAGTCCTCGACCACAATTAACCCTCAAAATTTCTGTTGCTATGTGAAACAGTTGTTAAGTGAGTTTTGTCCCATTTTACTGCTTTTCTTGCCACAGTTGTTAAGTGAATCCCTGCAGTTCAGTTGGTAACACAGTTGTTAAGTGAATCTGGCTTCCCTCATTGACTCCTTGTCAGGAATCGCAAAAGGGGATCACATGACCCTGGGACACCGCAATCGTCATAAATATGAGCCAGTTGGCAAGTATCCGAATTTCATTCACCTAGCCATGAAGATGCCGAAATGGTTGTAAGTATGAAAAATAGTCATAAGTCACTTTTTCCAATCCCATTTGAACTCCGGTTGGTCACTAAACAAGAGTCAAGGACTATCTGTAGTTTTTTTTATTGTTCTACACCTATAGACAGAATCGTGCCAGATTAAAAGCAACGATTTGCATAGCTACCGATACACTCTGGGAATAGCTAGGGAGGAGCCATCTTAACTTTCTTCCTGCAGACCAGTTTCCAAGCTCCACCACCACCTGGAAAGCAGCTCCTCCTGGGAATCCAGACTACATTCCACTACAACCAGAGTTCCCCGACCTAGGGTTGGCAGCCCAGAGTGGGGTGAGGGAGGAAAGGGGATGATTTCATTTGGCATAGGTGCACATGTGCACACGAGCTCCCATGATGTTGGTGATGACGCTCGTGCGAGTAGGACTGCAAGCACCCGCAACGAGGTTCGTGCCGAGTGAGACCCCCGAGCACCCATGATGATATTCAAACGAGTTGGAAACACAAGCACCCACGACAACATTTGTGTGAATTAGGTCACGAATGACTGGGACACTCGCACAAGTGGATTCGGACTGCCCACGCTTTTGGCAACACTCACGTTTGTGGGGCCAGACCATCCGCGACACAGCGATGCTTGTTCACACAGACCAGTGGCAATTAAGCCATAGCTATTAGTGGCCTATGGCCCACAGGTTGGAGACCCCAGATAACAGATAATCAGAGTTGGAAGGGACCTTGTAGGTCAGCTAGTCCACCCCCCCCCCCCCGCCTAAGCAGGAGACTCTATACCATTTTTGATAAATGGCAGTCCAATCTCTCCTTGAAAGTCTCAAGTGACTCCCGAGGGCAAGCTGTTCCATTGGTTGATTTTTCTCATACTTCATATTCTCCAATGGGACACATCCAAAGCCAAGAGTCATCAATCACCCACAAGACAAATTCAGAATTTCCAAAGTCCAGCAGGAAGCACAAACACACACAACTAGAAACTAAACATGTTGTTCCCAGCAAATGCCCCCCTCTGCCTGTTGTGGTAAATAGTTTTCCGGTGCAGCCCGTCAAGATGGGCAGGCTTTCTCCTGAGTAACCTTGCAGATCTCCGTTGCTTTTGTCTTTTCTCTGCCCTGCTTGCTCTCGGATCCAGAACAGAAGGCAGCTCCTCCTCCTCTTCACTTGACTGTCCGCCCCTGCAGGCTGTCCCCAGCCAAAGCCCTCTGTAAATCTCTTTTGGCTGGCTGTTCAGAGTCATTTATTAACCCAGTTCATGATGTGCCAGAAATGAGCTCATCCTCCCTTGAGCTAACCTCCGTGGAAGAACCCGAGGAGTCATTCAAGGGAGACATCGCAGGGACCAACCCTTGGAGATTGGTCCAAAGGGCTCCACCTTCCTCTGTGTTTTGGGAATGACGAATCCAAGGTTATTTCTACGGGGGAGGCTGGGTGCCAACCATCCCACAGCGGCTGCCAATATCTTCCCCCATGTCCTCAGCGGCAACCCAATTCTGCTTGTTTACATCAGAATGCCATTGCGAAGGTGAAGACAAACGCATCCCTCTCCTTCAAGAGGTGTTTGAGGCCTTTCCCCACACGCCGGTCAACATTGACATCAAGGTGAACAACGACCTGCTGATTAAAAAGGTGAGTCCTCCCTTCTCATTCCACCTCCTTCCACCTCAGGTCCTTGTTGCTTCTGGTTGGGTCAATGGTGGCTTTCGAGGGAGGACAACACTGGCCAGGTTCCTCAGTTGTGGTCAGGCAGGAGAAGTGTGGATTCCATGTCCTCATCGTTATAATTTAAACCGGTCTTTCCTAGGCTGAACTTGAACTCCCAGAATTCCCCAGCTAGCCAAACTGGGAGCTGGAAGTCCATATAAAAAGTTTTCAAGGTTGGGGAACACTGGTCTAAAGGCAGGCTTACTTGAAGGAGATGTTGTCAATTGTCCGACTAGTGAACCCAATATAAGGAAACAGTCTTGGGAGCGTTGAATTACCCAAAAGTAAAACTGTATTGGACATGCCATTTTGGTATTGAATCAAAACCAGCTCTGAATTTTCCTGTGCAAATGCTTGCTTAGTTAAACAACCGCTTCCCTTTCTCCCAACTCCTGGGGGTTCACATTGTCCAACTATGAGATGTCCTTTTAGTTTTGGGAACAGTCCAACTCCTTCTCAAGCACCTGCAGTGCTGACCTTTGATGACGGCCTCCTGGGCAACTCCAGAGGCCCCGTTTTGGGCCTGAAAGGCCTCCTGGACGATTCCAGGGGCTCCATTTTGGGCCTGGAAAGCTTCCTGGGCAATTCTGGAGGCTCCGTTTTGGGACTGGAAGGCCTCCTGGGCATCTCCAGAGGCCCTGTTTGGGGCCTGGAAAGCTTCCTGGGTGTCTCTGGAGGCCCCGTTTTGGGCCTGGAAAGCTTCCTGGGCGACTCTGGAGGCCCCATTTTGGGCCTGGAAAGCTTCCTGGGCGACTCTGGAGGCCCCATTTGGGGCCTGGAAAGCTTCCTGAGTGTCTTCAGAGGCCCCATTTGGGGCCTGGAAAGCTTCCTGGGCGACTCTGGAGGCTCCATTTTGGGCCTGGAAAGCTTCCTTGGGTGTCTCCGGAGGCCCTGTTTTGGGCCTGGAAAGCTTCCTGGGCGACTCTAGAGGCTCCATTTTGGGCCTGGAAAGCTTCCTGGGTGTCTCCAGAGACCAAAAACAGTCTTGTGTAGGGCCCCACCACGCCCCATTTTTGCTAGCAGAGGGGCTTGGGCTGGCCCCATAGGCCAGATCTAAGCATCCTGCGGGCCGGATTTGGCCTTGAGTTTGACACACCCCATCTATGCTGATCTGGGTGTTGTTGATTGCTGGTGGAGAGGTGCTGAAGTCCTTTTGTTCTCTTTTGGGCTGGTTGATTGTCTCTTTTGTATAATCTACAGGTGTTAATATCCATATGTGTCTGTGGATGGCTGATTTGTCAGAGTGCCAGGCATCTAGAAATTCCCTGGCATTTCTGGACTTGGTCTTGGATGGTCACATTTTCCCAATTGTAACTATGGTTAAATCTGACCATATCTTAACTCCGGTTTAACTCCAAAGTTGTTTACGACCGTTTTTCACAGCTACGACCTTTGCAGCATCCCCATGGTCACGTGATCCAAATGCAGGTGCTTGGCAACTGGTTTCATATTTATGACGGTTGCAGTGTCCTAGAGTCGCGTGATCCCCTTTGGCCACCTTCTGACAAGCAAAGTCAATGGGGAAGCCTGATTCACTTAACAAATCATGTTGCTAACTTAATATCTGCAGTGATTCACTTAAGAACTGTGGCAAGAAAGGTTGCAAAATGGGGCGAAACTCACTTAACAACAGAAAATTTGGACTCCGTTGTAGTCGTACATCGAGGATGACCTCCTTATCACCTACCTCCTAAAAATGTTTCATCCTTAAGCTCATCACCAAGTAATGTAGGAACCCAACTCAAACTGTTAGAGCCATTTTTATTTTTATTTTAACAATCCATTTCTTTTTTCTATTGATCTTAGGTTTCCGAGTTGGTGAGCTCTTACAAACGAGAACATTTGACGGTTTGGGGCAGCGTCAGCCATGAGGTTGTGGAAAAGTGTCACAAAGAGGTAAATAGAGAATTATACACCCTGTTGGTTTTACCCTCCCTTTTTTTTAATGTAGGTTGTACCTTTGAACATTCGCTAAGTGACCAGTTGTAAGTCAAAAGCCTGCCTGGGTGTGTATCTAAGTTCATTTTTATGGATGCTTCCTGTAGAGGCCTCAGATTAAAATTTTCATGCGCATGTACGAAAATTTGTACAGTTTCATCTCCTAATTAGTTTAATGAAAAGAAGCACTAGGGGTGATCTAATAGCAGTGTTTCAATATTTGAGGGGCTACCTCAAAGAAGAGGGGTTCAACCTATTCTACAAAATATTTGAACAAGAAGCAACGGGTGGAAACTAATCAAGGAGAGAAGCAACCTGGAACTAAGGAAGAATTTTCTGACAGTGAGGACAATTAATCTGTAAACTACTTGCCACCAGAAGTTGTGGCTGCTCTAACACTGGAAATTTTTAAGACGAGATTGGACAGCCATTTGTCTGAAATGATATAGGGTCTCCTGCTTTGAGCAGGGGGTTGGACTAGAAGACCTCAAATGTCCCTTCCACCTATTCCATTATTCTGCTTTGGAGAATTAAGTTCAGCTTAAGTCCTGAAAGATTTCTGTGTGTAGAAATGGCAGGACAAGAAGCAACGGATGGAAACTAATCAAGGAGAGAAGCAGCCTAGAAATAAGGATAAATTTCCTGACATTGAGAACAATTAATCTATGGAACTACTTTCCTCCAGAAATTATGTGCTCCAACATTGGAGACTTCTAAGAGATTGGCCAGCCATCTGTCTGGAATGATATAGGATTTCCTACCTGAGCAGGGGGTCAGACTAGAAGACCTCCGAGTTCCCTTCCCACTCCATTACGCAGTTACGATTTTTTTTTTTTTTGAGCGACGTTCCCTAAAATGAGAAGTCCGTGCAATAACGGGGTATATCGCATCATGAATTAACCTTTCTGTGGTGTCCCCGGATTTTTCTCCCCTCAGAACTGCCACATCCCCATCCTTTTCTGCTTGCGCCGTGTCCTCCTCCTCCTCGGTCTCTTCTACACTGGCCTTCTTCCTTTCTTTCCGATCACGGAGGACTTCCTGGAGATCCCCATGCCTTCCATCATTCTCAAGTAAGTGGCTGTTTGGGCGACATCTAGCTTAAGGTTGACTCAGCCTTCTGTCCTTCCGAGGTCGGTAAAGTGAGGACCCAGTTTGTGGGGGGCAAAGGCTGACTCTGTAAACCATTTAGAGCAGGGGTCCCCAACCACCGGGCCGCGGACCGGTACCGGTACCGGTCCGTGGAACATTTCCTACCGGGCCGCCGGTTTGCTGGGTGCCGCCATCTTGTTTGACGAGAAAGTGCTTCCGGGTGAGCTTTTCCGGTTGGAAAGCGGCGTTTGGGTCCTGAAGGAATCCTCGCGCCTTAGTTTCATCGAAGGGGGGGGCTTCGAACGAAACTAAGGCGCGAGGATTCTTTTAGCACCCAAGGCAAGACGAGCCGAGCGACCATCCCGAAGCCGTCCTGAAGCAAAGCCCATCGACAAAGATACAAAGGAGGAGTTGAAGCGGGGGACGGCTGGCCGGCCGGTCGCTCGACTCGCCTTGCCTTGTCATGCGTGCTGATGCCGGTACCGGGCCGCGGATCATTTGTGATGCCAGTACCGGGCCGTGGCACAAAAAAGGTTGGGGGCCACTGATTTAGAGAGGGCTGCAAAGCACTGTGAAGTGGTATTGCTTGGGAAG